TCGTACCCACACTTGCGTACACTACTTGCCATTGCTACAGTGCCCCCACCACCACACCACACACACACAGGTGTACGTACACGTTCAGTTTGTGCTTTGGCGGCGTTTGGAGCTATTAATCATTCATCAATCTAAACAATCAATCTAATCAATAGCGATTCAGGACCCACAGCCATTAAACTGACCCCAAGTATTGGTTTTAGGTGTACGGCACACATGCATCAGGCTTGCTGCAGGCATCCATTCCAACAGGTAAACGGTGGCGGATTCCGCGATGGCTTGCTGGCACCCGTATTGCAACAGCGGCAGCATCAGCAACGCAGCCCAGCTTATTGGATTTTAAGAAGGGTATTCTAGTGTGCAGCAAATCCACAGGTCCCAGAGCTGCCGGCCGCCTGCCAAGCGTTATAACGTTGTTGTAGTGGTCTGTGTGTCTTCATGTGTGCATACCTGGGTCGCATGTTTGATGTTGTGCTCTTCAACCCCCGTGTTTAACCGAGCTGCCATCCCGGTGTTTCCGCTTGACGTACCTCACTCGGCGTTGGCCTAGTGGTATCGCACCGGTGGATATCGTGGGGAAATAGAGGCAGAATGTTGGATAGATCGACAGACAGACAGACAGAAGGACAGGCGGCACAGGTCTGCCCTGCCGTACCACGAGCCATGTCGGGATGTTCTGCCCTCAGGGCATTGCAGCCATCATCAAAATCACCAGAGAAAATCCTTACCTCATGTAAGTGTACGGCGTTTCGGTGTTTGTTTCATGGGTCGCTAATGTGATGTTAGCTTAAGAACGGTCACACCTATTATGTCGTACTGTGTCGCACTGCCAAAGCATAAGTTTTAGCGCTTTTGCATGACCCGGTGATTGACAAACACGTCACACGCTTCACAAGCTGACCGAAATCCACCTTTACCTTCTTCGCTTGTCCTCCACTACCGGGCAGCTGCACGACGAACCGCGGGGGCTTTAGCTGCAGCTGCGGTGCGAGAGAAGACGCCCTGGTCCGGAAAAACGCGAGGTACAACACATATGTGTTACACCTTGGGTTGTGTACACATGTCTTGCAGGTTTCTGTATGCGTTAAGGAAGTGGACGGCGCTGTTGGCGAAAGCAGGGGCCCGGACATATACACATACAAACACACACATGAGGGTAAGAGTGCGGCGAAGGTAAAGCCAGCAGTGCGGCGTGAACCTCTCCGTATCCCTCGTGTGCGGGTTTGAGCCCCGCACATCTAGCTCATGGTAAGCAAGAGGTGCGGAGGAACGGGATATGCTGCACGCCATGCAGGTCGTACACATTCAGACTCAAACAATGCAGTACCTTCACACAGACAATCGTTCGCCTTAATATTAAAGGGTAGTTCAAGTTCAGTTCTTCTTAGTTCGGCAGCACTAGTCAAGCAGCAGTCAGTATCGCTCTCATCTGCGCTCGAGGAAACAAAAATGGGGAAAACCTGCGGACATACATACACAATGCACCACCACACTCCTCACTACTCAACTCTTTCCTTCACACACCGCGGGGCTGAGCGGGCGGCCTCACCTCACCTCACCTCACCTCACCATGCGGGGGCCCTCTGCACTGCCCCAAAAGAATGTTCACTGGACTTCGACCTCAATCTCAAACCTCCCCTCCTCTCGCCGCTCTCGCTGCTACGCCAAAAAAGGACGTGTGAAATGGCGGGGGAGGGCGGAGGAACGTAGCAGCTGCCTGGCAGCGGCAGCCCATTCACATAGTCATACATCTCTCCAGTCCCGTCTGTCTGTCTATCTGTTTGTCTGTCCCCACATTCACACCGTAACCCGCTGGGGACCACTCCTCACCCTTAACAGAAATCCTATAAGCCTTAGAACATAGCGTCTTCGAGATAGCCGAGATGTACGGCGCTAAGCCTTCCATACAATCAAGGATCATGTCATGTCCCGGATGCTGTGTCCCAGGGGTTAACTCCCCTCCCCCCCATCCGGCGGTGGTTCCCCCTTGCTTCCCCCGCCTCTCCCCTGCCTTGGTCCTGCATTGACAGAATGACATACACACACATGGGATAGACACGGGACGCATAGAGCACAAAAAACCACCACCATCCACGACGCCGCCCTCTTATAGTCTCTTCATCCAATCCGGCCTCCACACCACAACCACCACCAACTACCACAATCACCGCTCTACTTGTGTGTAGCCCTACCAACCAGAAGGTCGTCCATGTCGCTGATGTCTGTGACAAACCTGGGAAACCGAAACCCGGAAAATGAAAAGAGAAAGCGCCCCCTCGTTTTTCATCTACGCCCAGGCAGCGCCGTCGTCAAGTGTCGTGTAGTACGACATAATATCCAGGCGGCCCCGTCGTCAGGCGCCGTACAGTACGACACAGTCATAGCGTCATGATGAGGCAATACAGAGAAAAGCCATAAGCTATTTTTTGAAGGTACTCTGAAGCCATACGTCCCCCCCCTTTCCCTATCCGCCTCCGGGAAACCCTAAACCATAAAAACCTAAAAACCCCTGGGCCCCCACATCCTACCCCCCCCACAGAGCCCCTTTCCGAGCTCGGGACCCTCCAACCCCACCGCCCACAGGGCTCACCATCAGCCTCAGGGGAGAAGACCAGCTCGCACCCGCACACACAAACATACGTACAAACATACATACATACGTACACACATTCAGGGGTAACAGTACAGGTAACATTCCCGAGGAGAGCTGCTGCACCCCTCTGCACGAGGGCCAGGTGATGTGTTCCTGTCGTACTGTCGTACTGTTGCTACTAACCTACACGCGAAAACAAGTTTCAGCCAGTCTCCCCACCCCACCCCCCCCACACACACAGACACAAGGAACCCAATCAGGTGTTGGACGATGTGGGACTCCAACTGAGAGCTTACGTATGTATTTACGTATGTATGTAATGTCGGTTGGGAGAAAGGGACCCTCCGAAGCGTGCCTCTGTGTTTTCGATTCAGCCGTTTCGCCCGTTTGGGGCGGCCCGCATCATGCCGTACTATACTGCAGTACTCATTTTCTCGGCCGCAGTGTATCCACTGCGCTACACTACCTAACCACCGTGCCATCAATACTGTATCACCTCCGTAATAATGAGTAATAGAAATCGCCGTACACAACTGAAAACGGTGACGCCGCGAGAGTGTACTTCCAGAAAACACGTATAAAGATTCCCCCCACCCCCCGAAAGCTATCCCGGGGGGTAAGCGCACATTAGCAAGGGGAAATCCACACCCACGCAGACAAAACGACAGACAGATGTACTGAACATACAAACAGACGTCCGTCTTGGGGTCATTCGTGCCTTATGACAAAAATCCCACATCTGCATCCTCGCTATCGCCACCACCATCATCATGATCGTCCTCCAGGAAATCGAGGTGGTCTTCTTCCAGCGGGGAGAGGGGTCTGAGGGCCGAAGTGGGGCGATATATCCAACCCGCAAAGCCTACTGGCCACTCCTGCCCTCCACCCTCCTGGGCCCTATAAGCGAGGGGGTGCGGGGCCACAGGTGCTCTACCGGGCCGGGAGCGGGTGGCTGTCAGGGTGGCGGTGTTGCCTGCTGTCACCGGTGGTAGGGATTGGGGGCGGTAGTGGGGGCGGTAGTGGGGGCGGTAGTGGGGGCGGTAGTGGGGGCGGTAGTGGGGGCGGTAGTGGGGGCGGTATTTCCACTTTTCCATTTTCTATGCCACACCAGCGAACACTCATTCCGTACACGCTCGTCCATCCATTCGTACACCCTCTCTCCGCCAGTCACATCCCAACCCTGCTGCTGCTAAGGACCCCCCCACCTCCACAAGGCCCGGGAGGAAGGCCCCCGAGGATAACGACAGTGACGATGAGGAGGAGCAGGAGGAGGAGGAGGACGAAAGCCGCGGCTATTCAAGGGGAGGTCAGGGCGGCTGGTAGACGTTTCAATAAAAGGACAATATGACGAACAACGAACAAAAACCAACATCAAATTACAAATCTGAAACTCTACTAGGTGCAAGAATAACGGCTACAACGAGCGTACGGCAAGCAAGCGTACTCCCTTTCCATAAAACACATGCAGCCGCTGTGTTTTTTGCTCTCCAGAACGTGGGCGCGCACACACACACACGCACATACATACATACATACGTACGTACATATATACATAGATAATCAAACCCTAAGACCCTAAACCCACAGATAAATATCGAAGCACCGAAACACGGAGTACATACATACATACTAGGGTTTGGCACTACTGGTAATGCGCGACCATTGCCCCCGGGAGATCCCGGGATCGATACCCATTAGGGTCAAAAGTCCTTCCGATGGTGGAAGGCATTGCGCCCCTAGTTGATGGACGGTGGTGACCTGGGATAAAGTTAACCTGCGAGCCGACCAGGAATGGAGTTGGGCCGCTGTCGACCCGGCAGATTCCGTTGGATGCTGGTGGTGGGTGCGGAACCTGAGCGATCCACTGAGAAGTTGACTAGGGTGACTGGATGAGGGTGCCCCGAAATACCGGGGAAGGCAGGGTTTCGCAGGGTAGCTACCACGGGCGAAGATACACCCCCCTGTTTCACACATCATACATATTCACAAGCACGCATGACCGTTACATTGGCAAGGGAAGTGTGTCCCGTAGGGCCCCCCCTTCCGCATTCCGGCGCCGTGCCGGCGGCCAACCCCGCCTCACTCCCTCCCCCTCCTGCTTTTGAAGCTGTCTGCCCAATGGTCTTCCGCCGTACTCTACTTGGCACTACACACAAGCGGGCTCCCCCCCACCCCACCCCACACACAACACCATGTGACCTGCAATGGCCGTAGCTTCTACTGCCGTATTTGCTGCCGCTGCCGCACGGTTGATACTGCCATACGTGCTACTGCCATGCTGCTACTGCGAGACCCAAACTGAATGTTAATTCCCCCCCTTCCCCCTTCCCTCCTACACATGACGACGGCAAGGGGCGTGACGGGAGGTAAAGCGGTTGTGGTGGTGGTGCTTGTACGACAATTTCCGTTATCGAACAGGGAACTGCAGCGGCGCCGTCACCAGCAAGCTAGCCTTCTGTGCCGCCACCGCCGGCGCCGCCACCGACGAACAACCCGCGGCGGCACCGCCCACTGCTGTACGAGAAGTCGCCGCCACCGCCGCCGCAGCGACCGCCACCGCCACCGCCGCAGCACCTTGTCCCCCACTGCCTGCCGCTGCCGTCATGCCGTTCACCGGCGGCGACGGCGCTGCAACGGGGGCAGTTACGCTGCCGCTGCCGCCGCCGCCCCGGCTGGCCGGCCGCAGCAGGGGGAGTGGCAGCGCAGGCTTTGCAGCCCCAGCCGCCGCCGCCGCTGCCGCCTGCTGCTGCGGCTGCCTCGACTGGTACTTCGGCCAGTAGCTCTGTATCAGAGGGTGCTGCAGCAGCCTCTCCGCTGAGCTCCGGTTGATGGGGTCCAGCTGCAGCGCCTCCAGCAAGAAGGACCTGGCCTCGCGGGACAGCAGGTGACCGCGGCCACCGCAGTCCGCGAACAGCCAGGGGCTCCCCGCCGCGTCCAGCTGCGAGAGCAGCTCCCGCTGCAGCCGCGCCATCTCGGCAGGTGTGTCCGCCAGGAAGGGCTGGCAGCCCGTGAGCGCCTCGAAGGTCAGGACTCCGAGACTCCAAACTGAAAGCGGGAGGGGCCCGGGGGGTGGAGGGGTTTCAGAACCAGGTGGTGGTGGGAACCAGTTTAATACTAGGTGATGCGGACTTGGGGCTGTACTGCACACCGAACTTTCAAACTTCTTCTCTTATTCGTTAAATTGCTGCACCCCGCTAATCCTATGACGACTACCACAGGAGCCTGGGGGGAAGAGAGCAGCTAGAGAGCCTCAGGAGCGCCATGTGGGCGCACGAACACACACACATATCCTCTTAGCGCTAAACACCACCAAGTGAAAAAGACCCGCATGTGTCATATCGTGCAATCGTACCAGTGTTTTACATGGCTGCTTCCTGTTCCACCCTAACCCCCATCCAAACCCTCTTGCTGCACCATATCCTACACGACACATACACCTCACCATCAGCTTTCTCGTCGTACTGTGGCAGCTCCTCCTCACTCATTCCGTTGTACAGCACTTGGTGGAAGACCTCCTCAGCTGTGGGTTTGTTGAGGACCTCCGGGGCCTTATGTGGGGGAGGGGCGGGTGGGGGGTGGGAGGGAGGGAGGTTGGCGGTGAAACCCGAAACTCCGTGACTTCCCCACCCCCCTCTCTCTCTCCCTCCCTCCGTAAACACACGTACACGCACACGCACGCGCGGGGTAGCCTGACAGCCCCAGAGAGACAGACGGACAGACAGACAGTCATGCAGGCAGGCTGAGTGGATGGAGGAAAAAGCGATACACATCAAACCACTCAGAAACTGACGACGCGTAACTTACAGGTGTGCCGTTAGATATTGTTCAAATAGCAACTAACGAACTAACTAACACACACGGCGGCATACAGCGCATTCTGAAAACTGAGCGGAACCGCAAAAAGCGAAATCAGCATCTTCCAGCTTGGTGCTTAACATTATTGCTTTGGAAGAACACAATACTTCAGATATTTCTCGTATGTTAAAACTACGTTTCTAACTAACTGTCAGTCTGACGACCAGGTGGCGTGAAATGGCATGAACGTTTTTTCAGCGATTTGAGGTAAACATGCAAATATAAATGAAAACGTGGTTTTTCTCTTAACTCCTGATCAGAGATTCGAGCCAGTTCATGCTAAAATTCTAATAAAGATCCTTTTGGTCGATGTGATACTTAGGGTTGGACGGTGCCTCAGAGATTCGCTGTATACTTTTTACCGGGCAGGTACAGGCGGATACACGTGCCTGGCTGGCTGCCGCGTAACCACCTTCGCTGCCCAGGGAAAACCCTGCAACTGCAATCGAAACTGGAACTGCAACTGCCACTGCAACAGCAACTGCAATAGTAACCGCAACCATTATTGTGGCAACCATGCCTACGACACCACGAATACCCTGACAACCATAACCGTCAATCCCTTGTACAGTCGAAACCGGCCCTCCACCTCCACCAACCACCCCCGTTCGCGCATGCAATCCCTCACCCACCCCCAAACCTCCGCTCCCGTTACACTCCCCCACCTCCACCCCACCCCACCATGTACTCCAGAGCCCCCGCTCGGTTGTTGAGACAGCGCTGGGTCTTGTTTACGGCATCAGAGAAGTCAACCAGGGTAACCCCGCCCCCGCCCTCCGAGGGGTGGCAGAGCGTGTGCTCGGGTTTTATTTGGCGGTGTACGACTCCGCGTCTGTGCAGGTCCGCTAAGACGAGGGTGAGCGGGATGAGGACGTCAGGCACCAGCACCGCCTCGGACAGGCGGCCCCCGCTGTTGGCGATCATCTCAATTAGCGTGGAACCTGCAACCGGATGTGCGGTGGGGTGCGAGGAGGGGAATGCATCTGTCTGTCTGTTTGTCTGTCCGTGTCGGTCTGCCTGTCTGTCGGTATACGTGTGAAGAGGGAGGCAAAGGTGAGCGGGTGGGGGTCCGAAAGGAAAGCATACAGACGCTCAACGCACAGCTACAGACAGACAGACAGACAACAGAGCAAGGGAAGAGCCACCGCAGTACGGACAGGACTGGAGGCAGCGGCTCCGCAGTGCACCGGGTGCCCACCCGCAGGAACTGTACTACAACACCAACAACATGATATGCAACGCTGAACGAACACAAAACAAACCCCCTCAACCCCCCTCACACCCGACCCGGCCTCAAACCACCCAAACCACCTCCTGGACTGCCGGCCTAATTCCAGAGTATCCGTCTCCCATCTGGTATCTGTCTCTGCTGCACTCGTCTTTGGTTCCTCTTTAAACCCCCCCTCTGGCCCCACCGGGACATCGCTCCAGCACAATGTAGACGGAGTCCTCGTCCTCGAACTGCTGTATGAGCTGCACCACCCCGGGCACCCCGCTCAGGGCCCGCAGCTGGGCCACCTCCACCTCCAGCTTGGCCCGCAGGGAGGAGGACATGCGGGCCTTCATGAAGGTCTTCAGAACCACGGGTCGGTTGCTGGTGCGGTCCTGGGCTGCCATGATGGTGTGCAGCCTGAAGGGGGTAGGGGGCAAAGAAGGGGGTAGGGAGGAAGGGAGGGAAAGGAAAGGGAGGGAGGAAAGGGGGTGAAGACCTGTATTAGTGGGAAGAGTGCATATGGCAACAAGGAAGCAGCGTCAGTGAGCACCGGTTGGGGGGTGCCGGGGGGGTGTGAATGTGGACGGGTAGGAAGGGCATATATTTGGTAAGAAAAGGAACGACCAGCAGTTTAATGACCAACTACCAACTACCACCAATAACGCAACTACTTCAATCCCCATCACCACCAGGACACCAATGTGGGCCCCCCTCCGTCCCCCACCCCCCAGGTTATTGTTGTGCTGGCGTGTTGATGTTGTTGATAGGATAAACAAAGTCTGGCATGAGTGCAAATTTGGCAATGGGGGAGTGCAAGTCAGCTAATGATGCTGCTGCTGTTGCGCATGGGCAAGCAGATACATGTCTGTCTGTCTGTCTGCCTACATATAGACGGTGGCTATTACGTCGGCAGCTGGATAGCCGGGGTTGGGTAGGTGCGGGTTGGAGGGGGGGACGCTAACACGGGACCGAAACACAGCACAGGCGGACCGCGGGCCCCTCCGTCCGTCCGTCCGTCCGTCAGGGCCTCCTGCTCCTCCCTTTCCCCCTCCCCCTCCCCTCAGCCACAGACACGCAGACTGACTGAGCAGTCGCCACTCAGCCGCCGCACTGGGAACCTCAGCAGCTGCCGGGGGGGACAGCAAACAGATGAAAAAACACTTCCCCCTTCTCTCCCCCTTTTCCCCTCCCTTCCTACTCCTCCAGTAGCAGTAGCGATAACAGTAACAAAAGCAATACAAGCAGCAGGTGTACATGTTTCTGGCCAGTACGGACGCATGAAAATCACTTATGAGGGGCAATTTCCGTTTGTATGGCCCACAGACCCACACCCGTGCCGCCGGCCGCACCCTCCCTCACCGTTCACGGCTGAACATGCGGCCCCCGGCTCCGCCACTCGGCCCAACCCTAACTGCTTCCCAAGAACACCATAAACGCAATCAACTACTCCCTTACCGACCTTAACAACCAACTAACGGCGGCCAACAAAGTGAACTAACAGATCAACCGACTCCGATTAACCGACTTCATTCGTTATTCCCTACCGACCTGGATCTGTGAAGTGCGCGGAGATGGCGGTACCGGGTTTTGCTGCCATCGGCACTGCTGCTAGCGGGTTCTGCCGCTGCGGAAGATGAGGAGCTACGGACCGAGCCGACTTCCACGCTCGTCTTCGAGCGAGCAAAGTCACATCCCACGCGCCGCGTCCTTCTTGTCACGACCCTAGAAGGCCCAGAAACCTGCTTAACACTGAGAGGTGGGATTGGGGTTAAAGAGACATTCGCAAACAGGACGATGTGTCAGCAAGAGCCTCGCGCGAGCAACGGGCCGGGGCCATGACCATGACTTTGCGAGCGGGATACATAATAAAACATCAAGTAGGTGATCAAGTTATTTATTGTTCATAAATCTTACGTGTCTCTATCATCACTCGACGAGCGCCGGCCCCTCACAGGGCTGGATGTGGAGGGTTGCGGGTCTGTAAGGGAACGTCGCAGGGAAGACAGCTGTGGGCTGTTTGCGAATTCGGTCTTGCTCTTGCGATTGAAGAGACGGTTGAAGAAGGCCATGTTAAGGCAGGGCGCGCCCGGCGACACTCAGGGGGTGCCCAAGTAGCCTTCAATCTAGGTTCACTGCCGCGCTTGCGCCGCGCCTAGCCGGTTACCAGCAACTCCAGTTAAACTGGTCCACACCCAGATTAATTTGCGGCTCGAAGCAGTCTCAGATAATCACTCGAGGCCGCCACCGCGCAAAATGCTGTTGCTGATTACCAGGAGAGATTACCCTCTGCCGGTGACCCGACTTAAGTGCGATTGAGCATTAGGCAAATCGAGGTAGGTAGAGAGTTCCAACAGTTGAGATATCCATACCAGATATCATATATTACCAGACAGATTCAGCAGCTGATTGTTATCCGACGTTTAGTTGTGACACGAATTACATCAGCATAAGTTAAAAACATCTAATAAGTCATGTTAACGCCAATGCTGAGCAGGGGCAGCCCGTGTACTACAGTCCTTCCTCCTCTGGCCTATGCCTGCCTAGATAATAAAAAGGTGTATAGCTTCTTACAACCATGCCTTTGACCTGCAGACCTTATTGCACTGAGTGCAAAGATACATTGGAGATATTCTACCAATTATTGTACGGTGTTTGAGACATATAAGTTTCTCTTGGAGCCGACATTTTGCATTGCATAGTACGGATCTTGGATACGTTTTGTTCTCCAACGCTGGTTCAGTCGGATTTTCAGTAGGCACCGGGGGTTCCCCAATCTGAAGGTTTCAAAGCCGAACAGCATTTCCAAGGATACAAAACCATGTCTGAGAAGTCGCTGCAAGCTCAAGCCGATGCGGGGCGCCTTGGATTGCAACGGCAACTGTCTATCGCACTTCCTTATGGCTTCTCCTACCCGTTTTTGCTGCATGGGTTGCATCTGCTGATTGCCTATTTGACACATTCCTGTTGGGCGATCCTTGGCGATGGAAAACGGACGTCGCATTTGCACCAAATTTGCAGAGGTACACTGCGCAAAGGAAGGCGACAAACTGCGCTAAGGGCGTACTGTCGCCGAGTGTGTGTGTCAGCAAAGTAACAGTAGCCGGTCCACTATGCGGGTGTCGGTCACCCACCACGTGCCCACAATCCGTGGCGGTCTTCACGGCCTGTACCCCACAACAGGTTATGTGCCGTTATGTTGGTAAAAGGCTTATCATGCTACTAAACACGTGTGCCTCATTTCTCTCGTAACCCAAACCTCCTCCAAACCACACCCGCGGCGGCCTGTACATCTATGGACCTACAGCACTGTACGTCATGGCAATGTGCCCAAGCCTAACCATCTGCGGTGTGGCTGTTGCTGTGGCGGCTTTGCAGTAGCTGTGGCTGTGCTGACCCGGTGAGGTGAGGTTGGTCAGCCAATCTGTCATCTGGAACGACCGTCCGAGAAGAAGAATGGTACGACGGTCCAGCCACACAGTGAGAGCGACATAGAGCCCCTTACCACAACAAGAACAACTACGATTGAAAGAGGTGTAATCGCTCCCTGTTCCCAAACCGGAAGGCGGGAACCGAAGTACCAGAGAACCCACGCTTCAAAAAGCCCCTCATCGACATCACAGGGTGTCGAAGCGATTACGACATCAGCGGGTATGACATCCCGTACGGCATCACGCGGGTACGGCATCACGCATGGCACAGTACGACGCAGCAGCGCGCGACTTCCGATTTCACGTATGAATCTGTACAGCAAAAACACCATACGTACACGTTGCTGACAAAACAAGAATGCCGTACAAGCCTAAAACAAATGCCGTACTTCCTTAGCCCTTACCCCTGACATAACCCTCATGGGTATCATCCAGTGGTCCACTCGGGCCCACCGGTCTTGCAGCTGAGTAGTTGGCTATTGCCAGAGACCACGTGCCGAAAGACTGTGTGTATCGCAGTACTCGACGCCACTTGGTTTTGTCAACGTCCAGGCACCTCCTAGCGACTTACCGTGTTGCAGTCTACACAACCTTAGAGATCTTAGGATCAACTCCCAGCTACCTCTGAGATTGCAGTTCCAATAATGCATTTAAGGCTTTAAACATGCTGCCTGCCCTTGCATGAAGGGGCCAAGAAGGCATCACGATGAAGCACGTGACAGGCCTCTGTAGGAAAGCGCCATGCTAATCGTTAGGGTTCATCATCTAGAAGTGTTGTGTTGCTTTCGCTTTAAACCCCGCCTCCACACCGCTTCTTTGCCGAGTACTATCTATCGAGCCTGTTAACCAGGTCATGTTCATGTGCTGCACGGACTTGCCAGGCCTCCTTACTAATGAACTAAGAGGCTTACGCCCCAGCTGTGTTGCCCTATTAGGCAACAACGAATGCTAGTCCATGCACCCCGGGGGAGCTTACCTGAAAAGCAAGCACTTGAGGCCAAACACCCTTGAGGCTGCTGCCCGCAGCACTAGCCGCAAATCGACTAACCTCGACGGCAGCAGGAATCACCATCGCCACCATTTCCTCCCCCTTCCCCCGCAACCCACAACATCCTCCCGCCGCTACTGCCCCGCTACTGCATTAGCCTCACCCCGGACACAACAGCACCAGTGCATCAATGCCATACACGGCATGTCATCGTACAGTTCTGCCGTGCTTTCAGATCAAAGCAGGGACACATCCACTGCATGTGTCCGGGCTGTAAAGACGGCAGTCGAGGGAGGGAAGATCCTAACACAAAGATGAGGTCGGGAATCAAGAATTTGCTCGTTTCAGGCCGTATGCATGGTATGATATCTGTGTAGACATGCGTGAGTTGAGGACCTATATATGTATGTTTTGTACGTTTGTATGACATGCAGCATGTGTTACTCCATCCACCGCCGCCAAACACCTCTGAACCGCCCCCGGCTGGTCACCAGAGTTGTCAGCGCTGCTGGGGGCTGGGGCCCGCATTCCGACATGATATGTGGATGGTGCGGCTTACTGGTACTATAACTGAATTGGATGGGGTGGTTACTGTGGGGACAGCCAAGCAGGGTGGAGATAGCAGTAAAACGGCGGTGGTGGCGGTAGTGGAAGTTCAGAGGCTCGAGGACTCTAACAGCCAGTCTGCTGTTGCTGTCGCTGCAACCATTAATTGTGAAGACGGCCCGTCCCCTCGAAGACTGCCGGCGCTGGATCGACTGCTGGTGCTGCCGGCGGCCACGGGTTGATGTGCACTCCGTACGACAACACCGCTGCAACTGCGGCGCCACTGGTGGCGGCATTGCCATCCCAGACGATGGTGGCACGGGGCCGCCGATGGCAACGGCCTGGGACACGAGCCTCCGGAGATCCACCACATTGCCCCCCCATTGCCGCCACTGCTACTGCGTGGTGAGCACTGCACGGTCTCCACCACGGGCCCCGGACAAACCGGATGCCAAACCAGCTGTTTCATAGGACGATTTCCGCCCGTGCCGCCAAGGCTGATGTCAGCAGGCAGGGCCCCAAGAGTAGGCCATTCCGCCACCGCTGCCAGTCCCAGCGACACCGTGCAGTCCATGCAGCCCTGCCTCTACTGCCAACCTCCGAGTGCATGCAGTACATTACCCTTGCAGTGCGGACAGATGATATCACATCCCAACCACTGGTTGATGCAAACACGGCCCGTCGGCACCTCTAACGGACCTTTCTTAGACCCGTGGGAGTGTGCAGTCATGCTACATAACATTGCATGTGCTGTGTGGTCTCCAGCCAGTTGCTACACATATGGCTGAAGGGGATCTGCACCGCAGATTCACCTTACCGTGTCTGCTGCTGCGAAATGTAAACAGCTGCTGTGCTGGACAGCTGCGAGCATATTCTTGCCTGAGCCATGAACACGTGAGATGCAGGCAGAATATTATGTTACAATCAATCGCCGATGACGTGGAAAGCCGTCAGACGTAATAAAAACTCATTGACAAAAAAGCTAATGATGAGATGTTTTTTGCTTCTCCGAAAGCCGGGCGTCACCAAGACGGCTATCCCTGTTAGGAGTCTCTCTCTTCCGTGAAGACCAAAACTAACGTCGTTGCTAAAACATTTACTCGAACTCGAGAAAACCCGTTTTTTTAACCAGCTGTGAAAAACAAATCCTGCCTCCGCCGACATGTGATGCGATGTTTGCGCAGATACGGATTCAAAATCCGTTGATGTTCGCCCTTGAAGAAATCACATCACAATTCTTCAATCTTTCAACAACGACCGAGTGCACGCAAATGTGCACAACGAGGGCAACTCTTTTTTCTTTTCCGGTATGCAATCAAAACAACGCACACACATAAGCCTCATGTTTCATATCACTCCACGCCACGCTTTCACGTAGATGGCTCCTCGAGGGAAGAGATAAACGGCTGCTAAGTCCCGGCAAAACCATCACACACAAATTCAACTCGTTTTAATATTTATTCATCCCGGCACCTATCCCCTGTGGGAAGGACACAACACAATCACAGCACCGACTTCCAGCAGCACCGTTGCGTCAACAAAGCCTCGCAAAGACGCAATAATCAAGTCGGTACCCCTTCCGCCAACAGCCCTGTCACTGTCCAGTACGGAACCAGGCTAGGTCGCAGAAAAGAGTCGGCGATCTGATTAGATTATTCATCGCGCAAGTTTGCTCCTCCTCATCCCGTTCGTCGGCCTCCTCAACCACGACGAGGCTACAGGAGAAGCAACGATCGCCTGACCCCTCTACACACACTCCCCATCGCCACCGGCTCAGCACAATCACAGTGTGGTGGAACCCCGCAAAAAAACTATTGAGCCTTCTGTCTCTCTCTCGCAGTAGCAAGACACGCTCGGGCCTACTTCGCTGTGTGAAAGGCAGTGACGTGCTACACGCGCAGACGGCACCAGCAGTCGACACTAACCAGAGCAGCCAATCCGGCCCAGCAGCCAACCGGAAAAGACTGACCAGCTCAGCATCGCCGTCCGTCACCGCAATCGCCACACACACATCTCATCACATCAAGAGGCAGGCGAGATTGCAGAAGAGGTGACGCGGGGATCACATAACTAGGAGATACATAATAAGGTTCGAAGGGAAGACGGGGGCAGGAGGGTAGTATACAGGTTGCAATAGCGGTAGCTGTAGCACCGCGCAGCAAACCCTAAGAAATAGGGACACGGGGGCGTCGTACCAACCACTTCACAAGCTGGAAGGGTGACATAAGAAGACATCCCCCCAGTCCCCACGTCCCTGCTGCCCATCATCCCACATTTTCTCCTCCACCTCCTCTTCCGCACTCCTCGTTGCCTCGCAAAGGGCCCGAACTGTACTGCTCTTCCTCCTAACCTCTTAGGTGGTGGACGGTTCCGGCTCAGGCTCGCTGCCGTTGCCGTCGGTCTCGGAATCCGACGACGCGGCAACTGACAGGAAGGACGCGGCGTGGTGCAACGGCGTGGTGGGCGAGCCGGGCACCGCCAGCTTCTCAGCCAGCGTGTAGTAGGCAACTTTGCCGCCGCACGGGGAGACCTGGCAGGCGGCGCCCTGCAGCCGGTAGCCCGACACCAGCCCGCCCATCGCGGTGCCCCACGCGCCATCGTCCATATCGACCTTGTCCACGGACAAAGTCACCGAGACTTTGCCTGGCCGGAAAATCTTAACCACCTTCGACAGAAGCTCAACGGGGTCTGCCACCAGATCCTCCCCAAAACCCGAAAACTCCACGCTCGCATAGCTCTGATGCGCCTCAGGCGTCACATGTATGGTGATCAGACCGGTGCCGTCGATGCCATTCATGCTGTAGCCGCACGGCTCGAAGACGTAGTCGTCCACTTGAGCGCGAGGCTTGAGCGCAATGATGCCAGTATCGCGAGTCGTCTGCTCCGCGCTCACGAACCGCCCGTCGCGGAAGAACTGCTGCGCTGCCTCGGGGCTCAGCTCCGTCATGCACACCTCCATGTTGTAGGTGGGCTTGAAGGCGGAGTCCAGTGAGCGCATATCGTCCGCCAGGTAGACGTGCCACTGCAGGCCCTGATACGGCTCCCCGAGCACAAAGGCGGTGCCGCTGCCAGCGGGGCACATAGCGCCCACATGCTCGTCCAAGAAGCCGACCTCGTGCTCGAAGGCCGTGTACGGAAATGGCTGATAAATTATTATACAAGGCAAAGAGAAAGGCAGGGAAATGGTGTGGGGAATGTTACAAAGTATGGACATCAGTGATGAAGTATACAGATTCAAAAACATTTCAAAAAGCTTAACAATTCGGTATCCAATATATCTGCAAAGGGAGGGATGCATGTCGTTACGTTGGGCGCCGGTGGGGCTGCACAGCGGTACCTAGGCCTACGATAGATTGGAATGAACCTGACGTCATCATCACCATCATCATCAGGGAGCAAAAAAACGCAACCCACAACAAGGTGGCCATGGAAAGGCATACTACACTGTATGTAAGTATGTATGCACGTACATCATGTATTAGTCATAGCAAAACATTACCCCATGAACTTCCCCAATCGCCCCAATCGCAGACTACTTCTCAATCGTAGACCTTACTCCCTCCACCGCTCCACACAACATCAGCAACCACACACACCGCGTACCTGGTTCTCGGGGAACAGGAAGCTAGCGCGGGTGTACTTGCAGCGCCGGGGCTCCAGTCCCAAGGCACGAGCCACCTCCAGCAGCCGGGGCACAGAGTTCAGCAGGCGGGTGGTGCCGCACGTCTTGAGAATCCACTTCGTGGGGTAGACGAAGAGGCTGCTCTCAGAGAGCACGTACGCGTCCATCTGTTCGTTGCCGCGCGAGGAGACGATGCAGCAGCGCGCGAGTGTCATGAGCTCGTCCAGGACATCGCGTGGGATGGCGCGCAGCCCATTCGCAGGCGCGTTGGCACCGAGGCGGAAATCCACCTCGATGCGCTTCTCGCTACCCTCGAAAATCGGCGCGGCCAGCACGGAGTCGGTCATCATTTTCAGGTGTTGATTGCTTGCGGGCTTTGGGGAGACCACAGGAGCTGTGTGCTGTGTTGGAAAGAATCACTCTCTCTACTAAACGACTAAACTGTTTTGCGGGACAAAACTATTGCAGCTCGCTCAGCTGGTTCCCTCGAGAAAAGCTAATGTTAGCTGGGAAACTTGACGCACTGCAAGCAGGCATGAAGAAGGGGCACAAGGGCACAATTAAAGACATTATGCAAACACGCGCGATTAGAAATGCACGAGCGTAAAATAAGGTCACACGCGGTTAGCAGGCCGAACGCGGGATTGCAGGTACGCAGGCACGCTGCGCCGTCACTACCTACGGATACAGGCGCCCTAGAAGATTTGTTAATACAGCGACAGAACACACACAACATGTGTAGCCAAGGTTTACGGTCGGCGCGTTGCTGCGATGCGCTTGCAGGTATGGGCCAAGCGCCAAGAAGAGTCGGCGAGGCGACTGGCAACGACGCAATTCCAGACAAGACAACCGAGCCAGCGCAAGCACAGGAACTAATAGCAACCCAAATGAACAAATAAAAGCGCCCTTTCAATTGCACAAGCTCTAGAACACGCCCAGAAGTATACTCACATCGGCGAAAGCAGCGGAGAACTTGGCGATAACGGCTGGACGATCGACAGCTACGGGCTCAGCTAGCGGCTCAAATACGCGCATACTGCTGCTAACAGGCATAGGAGACGCTCATCTGTCAACGCAGAAGAAGCGGCGCGCGGGATCACGAGGTAGGATATAACAAAGTGTTGTCAGGTTCAAGACGCGAATTGAAAGCAATGGATAAGGGGATAGCGCAAATAGCTTTTGAACATCGCCGCCGTCTTTGCGGACTATAAGGGGCCGTCCAAACATTGGCTCCAGGGAGGCCCAACAAACCGAAGCCTCTCTTTCGCCAAACCTTTATGATGGCACTTTTTCCTCTGAATCTAATTAACAGTCTAAGTAACATTTTTTAACGCTCCCAACTACGGCGCTTGCTATGCGCTTCTTTCTGGCAAGGCGAGAACACTTGCATCCATCTGGTCAATTTGCCGATGAACGAGCAGTCGTCGTGGTTTATAATCCTAAGCACAACATAGTGCCCTTGATATCAAAACACTAGTTAAGGGAGAGCGGTGCAGGTTTGTCTTTAATCAATCTTCCATGGTCTTCTGTTTCCAAAGCGAAGTGCAGCTGGGCACGAAGGGAAATACTTGAATAAATTCAGTGCTAAGAATATGAAATTGAATGGAAAGTCTTTGTTAGTGCGCAGCTGCCTGGTAGCACAGCGCATTCAGAAACGGCGTTAACTTCCTGTCAACGTCCCGATGGCCTGCACTCATCTCGTTCCCAATAGCATGGGTTTTTCCACAACATCTCCATTAACACGTTAGTAAGTAGACAGCAGATGCAAGCAGTTGCTCATCGCCTCAGTGGTGAACGCCCTACGGGTTCCATCACGTCGAACGAGCGAACCGTGCGAGCGCCTCCCTAGTTGCACGCATGATTTGGAGACCGTTTCGCGCTATTTAAATGAAGTATGTCAGCGCTGCGTGTTGGCTTACTATTCCAATGTGAATGGCAATCAAGAAATCCGCGGGATCGCTCCTTGTGCGTCGTTGCAACGTCTGGCTCCTCAAATCCCTCCGACCCTAGGTGGCCCGGTGAGGACACCAAGTCACCTGTGAATTTACGGCTGGAGGCAGGAGAAAAACATGATGGCAAAAAATGTAAATTATAGCCGTGCCCGCGCCTATGACCCGCACACCCGAATCGCCGCCACCGTAATGAATCACCCGAGTGACCCAACCGCTGCCGCAACTGCCGTTGCAGCTGCCAGCAAGTTAAGGCTGCCAGCAACGGCTGCGGTGGAAGCTGCTGCTTTAAACCATCTGGCCTGGCCTCCGCCGCCACACGCACCCTCTGACCCGCTCAGGCTCCGAAACCAATTGGAACTCTGTTGTCCAATCTCCGCCATCACTTACACGCCGCAGCAGACCCAACTGGCTGCACCCAACAATTGCACCGCCCGTTTTAGATTCGGGAGGGGGTTTCGGAGCCCGGGAGGGTTGTGCCCAGATCGGTAAGGAAGGGGATCACAGAAAGGCGGTCGACACAGCAGTCCACACAGTGTATAATACACATACGACATTGATCATCTATGAGAGCACCACAGCCACAGCTTGTTCGGAAATGCGGCACACGGACACAAACACTCGGGAAGTAATATTGCAAAGGAAAGAAGCCCGTTGTGCATTGAGGGGCCAGGTGCGTGTGTTGGTGGTGCGATATGTAGGAGCGCTGGGGACTTCTCCTAGCAGGCTTCTCACCTGAACTAACTAACCTTTTGCCAGGGATGGTGGCATTTGGCCGCACAAAGGGTGCCGTGTCCTTCACGTGTACGCGCGAACTCGCGTCATTTTACGTCTCGGTGATCGGTTGTTGTCGGCGTTACTTCCGTTGCTTTTTCCGTTGCTGGCGGTGTACGGGGAGCTTCAATGGACGGATTGGGCGAAACACGAACGATGCCATTATTCAGTTTTCCCATCAGTGTGCCATGAACAACATCATGATATCAAAATGCAATAGATTAAGGAAAGCATGGTATCTCGACGTCGCGCCCTACGTCGCTTGCAGCCTACTGCAGAACTACTAATCTGCATTGTCAAAAAATCTGCGTAGTTAATTCATTGCGCCTGGTTTACCAACACCGTTATTGTTCTGTTCCCTAGAGGCATCTGTGTCCCTAAATCCTTTGCACCAAAATGTATATTTTTGCCGGCTCATACGAGCGCTTCGTTTTTGGATTCTCGGCTTCAGCCGATTGCTCCGAGGTGCGGCCTCCGTGTAGGCGTCAACCATTGTGTCGGCGCGGCGGCGGTCTGTCGGCAACTCCCCTAACTTGGCTGTTACCATTTCGTGACTGTCTGGACGTACTTGCCGTAGCCCCAAGAGATTGTGAAGCGGTATACTTTTGCGGCGCACAAGGTACGTTTGTCGCGCTTAGAGGAAACCTAGCGCGTCGGGGCCGCACTTTCTGACACATCCTGACCTCCATCTGGAGGTCACCCGATCACCGATTTGGCGGCAGCTCTAGAAGGATGTTTGTGCGCACGCGCCCTTCAGAACGCCTTTTATATTCCGCGTTCGAAGGGCTTCACTGCTACTGATTACTTCTGTTTGGTACGGGAGAAGACGAACTGAGCACCGCTCGCTGTATGCCTTGGGCCCCACTACCCGACGCCACAAATGATCCCTTTCCGAGCCAATCAACCCAAATGACTTCGCCTCCCTCAATCCTATTCCTTTCTCGCAGTCAAGTTCACTATCTGTCATAGAGGCATGTCCCACGAACGCGGGTGTTCCCACCCACCTACCCTCCTACCCACCTACCTACCTACCTACTAACCTCGGGGCTTTCCTGTACATAAACACATACATACTTACGTACATACACATACGCATGCACCCCCTGCAGAGCGCGGTGAAATGCCTGGAGGCTGCAGGGCCCTATGTTGCTTCGGGAGGCGCAGATGACCTCATCCACTTGTACGACATGAAGGTATGTGCGGCCTTCAGTCGTACGATTTGCCTGATGTGACGGTGGCTGCCATGGTGTGGTGGGTAGTGGGAGACCCGGGGCTCCCGGACTACCGGCCGCTTGGTTCCCAGCTGCCACAACATCCCCCCCTCCCCCTCCCCCCCTCCCCCCCTCCCCGGAGAGAACAGGATCAGGAAGTGGTGTTGATAATGTTTTGCTCCCCCCCGCCCCCCACCCCCGCCCCCCACCCCGCCAGGCTGAGAGGGATTTGGGGTTACTCATGAACCCCTGCGATGGTGCCGTACCCTGCTTGCAATTTTACACGCCCCAGGTACGGTGGCGGGTTGCAGGGGGGGCCACCTTAGACAGGTACTGGCGGTAGTGGCCGCAGACACCCCCCGCCGCATCTGAACCCATTCTAATTTCCCTCCATAGACACATACATGCACGCACGCATCCGTATACATACGTACATACATACAGGACATGCGGCCCCCTGACCCTGTCCCCCCTACCCCTCCAGGGCCGTACCGCTCCCAGTCACCTGCTCAGCGGCAGTGCGGACGGGGCCATCAACATTTGGCGGTGCCGGGGCTGGGACCACCTCAAGGTGGGGACAGGGGGGCCGGGGTGTGCGTGTGTATGTATGTATGTCGTTACAGGGTGGTTAAGCTTCACCAGTGGCCCCCTTTCCCGGGGCAGTTCCCTGCTCTCCCCTGCGAGAGAGGCACCCTAATCTGTTCACCCCATCCGACTTCAGAATGTATTCGTTGGGTTCAGCAACTCACCACCAGCATCCAACCAAATCTAGCGGATCAACGGCGCCTCAACTTAGTTCCTGGTCAGCTCGCAAGTTGATATTATCACGTCCTACACCGTCCATAAGATGGGGGCCCAACTCCCATTTCAACATTCCTCAAACACCCGAGGAGTCGGCGGATTTGAACCCGGACACTCCGGGAGCAGAAGTCAGGCCTTAACCTCTGCCAGCCGCCTGCCTTATGCGTATGTATGTATGTGTGTTTTAAGGGAGGAGACGGTTCTCCATTCAGCCAAGGGACGGAAACAAATATCGAAATCTTGCCGGATGACCGGAATTAATAGGCGTACGAGCAGCCGATTGCCGTACGCCACCTCTCCAGATTAGCAGGTGATGAAGGAAAAGGTGGTCAACGTCACCTCACAGCAAAGAGCGTAAGGATCGCAAACAGCAGCATCTGAATTACCCCCCGCTCCCAAACCCCCTCCGCCCGGGTGCTAAGAGAACCGGGGGGCCCCGGGGGGAAAGGCGGGAGAACTCCCCTCGTCATTATCGTGTGTGTGTTTTAATCTGTCACCGGCCACGATCCCCTTCCACCATAATAGGTAATGAGAGGTCATAA